ATAATGTATAAATCAATACATTTTGAGAGCTTAATGCTACAAGGTATTTTGAAACACAAAAAGAATTCATGTAAAGAGTTTAATTACGGGGTTGCCAACCTCCAAGTGGGAGGTGGGGAGTTCCAGGCCAAGCCCACATGCTCCCCCCGGACCAGCCCCCCCCGGCTGCTTTCTGTCGGGTTTGGGTTGGGGTGGGGTGCGTGTCCAGCAGGGGCCGCTCTCTGGCTACCTCCTTGGGCTGCCACGGGCTTCCCCACCTCCTCCTCCTCCACACCCAGCTGGGGCCAGACCCAGCCAAGTCACACGGCTGCACCACTGCTGGGGCCAGAAACAGCCAGACGCAGCAACAGCAGCCGTCGCCGCACTAATAAAGCAAATGCGGCAAACATTTCACGGGTTTTTGAGATCCCCTCGCTCTCTCCGTCCCAAAGAATCTAGTTTAAAAATAATAATCATCCTCCTCCTACCAGCCTGTGGGAATAGCTCTCCCCCTTGGCTCGCCAAGGAAACACTTGGGCTTTTCTCCCCCCCAGCCCCGTTCCAAAACGACGGGATAAAAAAAGGGGGGACTCCTGCATCCACACCCAGTCCCTGAAAGCAAGAAGTGCTGCTCAAGTAATTGGGATTCCTTTCCACTGTGAGCCAGGATCCCCCGGGGGGGGGGCATGCGCTAGTCCAATGGTGATCAGAGGGATCTGGCTGGGCGCGCAACTACTGGAGCGCCTGCGAGCCGAGCGCAGGTGCCTGCAGGAGGAGTGGCGATGGCGCCCCACCAAGCTGCCTACCCTGCCACCGCCGCCACTCACCCGCTTGGGGCTTCTGAGCTGAGGAGGAGACCTGCGTGCTGGTGCTGAGCCGGAGCTGCGAGCACAGCCTGGAGCGCTACGAGGCTGAGCTGCAGGAGTTCGAGGGGTGCCTGGGCAGGGAGAAGGCTGACCAAATGCTCGCCCAGAACCAGCAGGGGGGGAAGGCACATTTCAGCACCCCATCCGGGGCCCCGCGCTCTAGGTGAATGCCTAGTTCGCCTAGTGGGTGAGCCGGCCCTGGCTGTAGGATGGATGATTGTTTTCACTATGTGGTTTATTGGCTAGCCACACAAGTCAAAGAACCTTAGCACCTTTAGTGTACTGGCAACAGATACTTTGGAGGGTGGACTCTACAGCATTGTACCCCACTGAAGTCCCTGTGCTTTTCAGGATCCACACCCAAATCTCCAGGAGTTTCCAAATCTGGATCTGGCATCCTTCCCCCTCTCATCCCTTGTTGGTGGCTGGGGGACCTGGCAAGCCTATATACATGTTTAAATAAATAAATAAGATCGATAAGAACACAAATCTTACTAATTTCAGTGTGATTTAAACGTGCCTGACATTTTAAGGATATGGCCTTTGCGAATAAGTAGTACAGAGCCAGAAACACCGTTAAAGAGGGTTTTGTTTGAAAAAAACACATAACAGGAACTTCTGTATTTGCCAGAAATAAAGCAAAACCTTATCACATTTCTTTCTTATTTCATCTTTGCAACCTCTTCTTTTGTTTCTTGTCTTCAGGCTCCATAGAAATGGGTCTCAGGTTTGTCTGTTGATTGAGGGACACACTGACAGCGCTGCCAGCCCATTAAATTTCAATTTGCTCAATGCAGACAGCATGCTGAAGAAAGATGGAATCTACAGAATGACTCTCTCTTAGCTGACAGTCAGTTCTGGCTGTTTTAGTTTGGGATTTCTTAAAGAGAAATTGGCAGGCTTTGCTAAATTGAATTGGTTTTCAAATAATAACAGCACAGATATTTTATAATGAAAAGTGGGCTAATAATATGCGTTTGGATCCAGACTAGCATTTTTGGAGTCACAAGGAATGGCACTCAGAGCAATTTTCCCATCTCTCCCCCTACAAGACCCCGAAATGCACCTGCTAACAGGGTTTTGGGGGGGAGGTTGGGCTCCCACAAGAGGCAAAAGGTGGGAAAACTACATTCCACAAGTGGAAGTCCTTGTGCCTATAGATAACGCCAGTCGGGATCACCCATTAATTGCTGCATCAAATATTGTAATAATTTTGCCTCCGCTATAACATTAAATGAATAAAATATTCTAAAAGGAGGTACAAATGTTGTAACAATAAAACTATAATTCATTGTTCTAATAATTGTGAATGTCATCTCCAAGTAATAATGCATATACCTAACAAAGGCGTCATAGCAACAAAGGCATCAGAGCAGCTGTTATTATATAAAGTGCAAAGCACTGTAACCTAGGAACTGAAAGTAAGGTAAGACTCCGACTTCCGACCAAGGCTCCCTCTAAGCTGTGGAGTCCTGTGAGCAAATATTCTACATTGTGAGCGACTGGCATTAAAGTTGTGAGTGGGCCATTTGGCTGCTGCATAAATCAGTTTGCTCTGGAGCCACATCCTTCCCGAGCTAAGACAAAAATATGTGAGCCGGAGGCTAAAAAACTGTGAGCTAGCTCACACCAACTCAGCTTAGAGGGAACACTGCTTCCGACTCCGACCATCTTTCGGTTATGTTGTAGGTATGTAGGGCTATCTTTCGACTATGCTCCTGCAGAGGGCAGGGGGTTGGGCTAGATGACCTGTAAGGTCCCTTCCAACTCTAACATTCTATGATTCTATGGTGGAGCAAACAAAGCACAGTTCTAATTTTGCATGATGCATTTCATTGTAAACTGCATCAAGAACTTTGGCTGAGAGCTGGTCTCTGCATAATTTAAAGAAACAACTCGAGTCTATGCTTTTAAAATGCTTTCTGGCTAAATCAGGCCACTTGGAAGGTAGATATGGTATCCAATTCAGTAAGATGCTCCTCCTTCTAGGGGCTGGAATACATTTGCATAGAAATCTGGCTTGCTCATAATCTGATGGTACAGTCATGTGGAAAATATGTTGTAAAATGGCTCCCCAAAGTAGAATGGGGTGATATAAGATAATTACAAGCAGGGCTCTTTTTGTAGAAAAGGCCCAGTGTCACGGCAGGACCAGGGGGCGTGACGCAAGCAAGAAAAAGTCCAGGAACAGTCTGAGGTCAAGCCGGGCAAATCAGGTAGCAAGGTTCAAGCAGGTTTAAATCACAGTCCAAAAGCAGGGTCAGACATACCAAAGTTTCAAGTCCATAAATCACCACAATACCAGAGGAGTCAGAGATGAACGCAGGGTCAACAAATCCGAAGGTCAAAAGCCGAGGATCAAGCCGAGAAGAATTCCACAAGGTCTGGAGCAGAGATGCAAGGATTCAGGTCCTGAACAAACGACGTTTGCCAGCACAAATGACTGCTGGCAACAGACTTGCATATATACAGTGCTAGCTAATCAACTCATTAGCTAGCCAGGAGTGAGGACAGGATCCTGTCAGTAATCAGGGCTAAGAGATCTTCTGGCACGCATGCGTGCATTCTGCCTTCGCTCTCTCAGCTGTTGTCTTCTTACATTCCTGAGCCTGGTTACAGGTGGAGGCGAGTCTGATGATGAATTACTGGGCTGCAGCAGAGACTGATCCCTTGCAGGTGTTCCCTGGGAGGCTCTATCCTCCTCACCACTTAGATAGCTTTCAGCTACAGGATCCAGTCTTTGCCTTTCTGCTGCAGTACTGTCCTCAGGAGCCTGTTCAGGGTCCTCAGGAGCCTGTTCAGGGGCATCAGCAAAGGCAGGCATGACATCAGCAGGGGCAGGCATGACACCCAGCAGGAACCCATTAGCATAATAGGCCACACCCAACAGCAGAAACTCATTAGCATATTAGGCCACACCCCTGACAGCACAGCTCATTAGCACATTAGGCCGCACCCCCATGTTACCAGAAGTGTGGTCATCCAGCCACACCCACCTTTTGCTTCTTATTCTGTTTACCTTGTTTGTTGTCAAAACCCAGGGCTTTTTTTTTGTAGAAGGAACTCCTTTGCATATTAGGCCACACACCCCTAATGTAGCCAATCCTAATGAATTTCTGCTGTTGGGTGTGGCCTATTATGCTAATGAGTTCCTGCTGGGCGTGGCCAGCTTGGGAGCCAGCCAGAACTCCCTTCCTGTGCGTTCCTGCCCAAAAATAGCCCTGATTACAAGTCAGTAACCTACTTTGCCTCATAGGCAAGGCAGGCTGTGGTGGATACACCTTCTTCTCCTGTGAAGCACTAATGAGGATTTGAGTCACAACACATGTGTTTGTGGTCCCTGCATCTGATGTTCCCTTTCCCAAACCATATGCAGAGGGATATGCTTCTAAGTTTAAAGGCTGCCAGGTGGTTTTAGTGAGAGAATGAATAACTTTATTGGAACAGTGGCCATGAATTTTTGAAACATCCAAATATGTTTGAATATTGCATATTCCAGTAGGTTGACACACACCTATCCCTTTTCTCAACAAGAAAGTCTTACAGGTAAAGTTATGCATCTGAGTGATGGAGTAGCATGGAAAGGGCCACTTATTTGGAAAGCGCAGTGGGGAAACTTATATAAAGCACAGAAAATGAACTTATGTTTTTTGTGAAATGTGGAAACATAAGTATAAGCATATAGTTTAGAAATTTTTAGAAGGAAAAACGAAAGCCAGATTCCCTGGAAGAAATCTGGTAACAGCCCAATGTGATGCAAATAAATATAAGACATTCACTCAAACAAGGAATTGTGAGACACTTGCTGCTGCTCCATTCTCACATTAGATTTAAATTCTAAGTTTGCTCCAACTTGGCCTGTTTTAATCCATGGTGTAAATCCTACTACTATTCTACCATTACACTGAGGAAAATTTGAAGCTTTCCTCCAGCTTCAGGAGCCTTTTTATAATGGAAGAATTACTTAAAGGTGTGGAGAGGGATGGATCCATAGCCTGGAACCCACATTCATTAGCCTGTTTGTATAGTGGTAGAAGCCCTCACTACCATGTTTTTATGAGTCATCTTGGCCTACTACGCTAACCCAATATTCAATTCAAACCATTGTCTTGCTTTTCTGCAGAATATACAGTGATCAATGAAAACTGTCCAGGAGCTGAATGGAATATCATGTGTCGGGAATGTTGTGAGTATGATCAGATCAAGTGTGTCTGTCCTGGACGGAAAGAAGTTGTGGGTTACACCATTCCCTGCTGCAGGAATGAGGACAACGAATGTGACTCCTGCCTCATCCACCCAGGTGTGTTGCTGTATTGCCCTGTCCCATTGCAAGTAATGCAAGACATGAATTGTTGTGCATGCCTGTGACAGCTGTTCCTGTAGCTAGCTTAGTGGAGCATGTGGCCTGTTTGGCCTGCCAGACTTTGGTGATGAATAGCCTTTTCTCTCCTTGGAGACGGATGAGTGCCAATGCAAATGGTTCATTGTACTGATGAGAGTTAATGCATTTAGCATATTGCCTTTAGCATGTTCCTGTTTCTAGAAATATAACCTCACACCAGGAGCTGAAAGTTTCCAGGATTTCACCATGCATGGCTGGAAGCTCTCCAGAGGGTAAAGTCATTCCTGGCTTCAGTGCTGGGTGGAGATTTTAATTCCTTGGTCTCCAAAGGCTGGTTTGTGCACTGCTTTATTAAACAAAATCAGAAAGGAGCTGCTGAGTTCACTCTCAGTAAAAGGATATGAAAAGCAACAGCATAGAGATGAGAAAGGATTAGCCAACTGGAAGAATATCAATGCAATCCTAAACAGAGTTACACCTTTCTGTGTCCATTGAAGTCAATGGACATAGAAAGGTGTAACTCTGTTTAGAATTGACCAGTGGACTTTGAAAGGTAAATTCCTCCATAGGATTGCACAGTAAATTTCTATTGGAGATGGGTCCAAACTAGGGTCGCCAGGTTGCTTACCTGTTGCAGTGTGTGGGGGGGGGAGTAGGTCCCAGTTTGGGACATTCGCACACATGCATAGAGCACGTGCGCTGCGATGACATCACCTGGAAGTGACATCACCACTCTAGGCATGCCGCTGGTGGACACTCTAGCATTTGGCTTGAAAACTGTATGATACCATAGAGTTTTCAGGCCAAATGTTAGAGCGTTCCCCCTGGTGACATGACCAGTGTGATGGCGTCAGCTCTGGGTGACGTCATTGCTCCGGGCATGTCGGCCTGATTCGGGCACATTGGGGGTGGGGTTCCCTCCACCGGCTCTATCCAGACCAGCAGGTTGGGGGCCCTTTGAGCGGGCAACCCCCTGCCCCTCCGGGGGATCTGGCAGCCCCAGTCCCAACTATTTATTTATTTATTAAATTTATATCCTGCCCTCCCCAAATGGGCTCAGGGCGGCTAACAAAAGAGGCACATGCCAGATAACTATTCATCTTGAGTCAAGTCCAGTAGCAACACAGCCTCCTAACATTAAATGACTTCTCACCCACAATGCCCCTCTTAACATGTACATGGATGCTAGGATCAAATCCTGCAAAAAACCAAGATGCCAACTCTGTCTCCATATTCGCTCAGGTAACACAGTCACCAGAACCTAACAACATCAGCCATCTCATACCAGGTTCATTCATTTGTTCATCTTCCAACGTTATATATGCTGTCAAATGTCAGCAATGTCCTTCCACTTTCTACATTGGACAAACAGGTCAGTCCCTATGCAAAAGAATAAATGGGCATAAATCCAACATAAAAACCCACAACACTCAGAACCAGTGGGGGAAGTTTTTAATCTTTCAGGTCATTCTACTGCTGATCTAAGAGAAGCAGTCTCCAAACAGAGAAGCTGCAAGGGGAGGCGACAATGCAAAATTGCTGCACTTGAGTTCATTCAGTTCAGAGCAATGACACCCCCCCCCCCCCGAACCAGGCCTGAATAGGGATGTAGGACTCTTATATCACTACTAGATTCTGGAGGTACCTTAGAGAGCAACAAGATTTTTTGAGTATAATCTTTCAAGAGTCAAAGATCCCAGACAGCTTTGACCGTCACATCCTTATACCCCCCAAAATCTTTTTGGTCTCTAAGGTGCTATTTGACTTGAATCTAGCTGTTCTGCTGCAGACCAATACTCTCTGAAATGATCTCACTACAGATGCTAATTTCCCCTCTGCTCTAATCAAGCTAAGCACCATGCACATTGCACCTCTGCATCCTAAGTTCCTTCTTGGCAGCACCCTTTCCATCATTTGACTGTGGCTGGTTCTGCATCTGGCATTCACTCCACATTTTCTCAACACTGAGGGGAAAGTGCAGCTCAAAACCACATTCAGATACCCCCGGGCCCATGCCATACTGATGGCAAAGTCACCCCTGGATGGCCATAAAGCAGCCACAAAACCCGATGAGCAAAGAAAGTGAAAGCAGCATGCAACACAGAGGGGAATTTATGTTCCAACATGGGTTTGCTAAAACAACGGAGGGAAAAGCCAATGCAGAATCGCCCTGGGATATAAGGACTCTGAGATTTCCATTCCACCTTGTATCTGGCAGAGGGAGCCTTGAGTCTTGAAAGCTCATACCCCCCAAAGCCTTGTTTGCCTCAAAGGTGCCACTGGACTCAAATCTAGCTGTTCTACTGCAGACCAACACGGCTACCCTCTGAAAACAGTCATCTTGGATTTCTATTCTTCTGTTTTATATTCTTTTTGGGAAATATGTAGCAAAAAGAGTTCAATAGCATATTGTCAGGGCCGGCCCTAGGCGAGCGCAGATGCCAACCTCCCGGTGGGGCCTGGAGACCTCCCAGCTGGTGTGAGTCACCTCCGGGGCAGAACTTGGCTTGGCCACCCACTCCCTCGCCTCGCCCGCTCCACTCCCTCGCTGGCCCCACATTTACCCAGCGAAGCGCCTGCCGCGCCTCCTCCTCCATGGAGGAGGGCGGACATGTTGCGTGGCTGGAGCCCTGCTGCTGCTGCTCGGGCTGGCCACGGTCGCCATGCCACTCCCGTCCAGTCCCCTTGGCAAGCCGAGCGGGGCGCGCGCACGCCACCCTCCGCCTCCCGGCCTGGTGCACTGCCGCCACGTGTGGAGGCTCCACGGCCGGGCGGCTGGTGGGGGAAAGGCTACAGTGTGGCCAGCGAGCGGGGAGGCAAGAGAGCTTGCGGGGGGCAGGCAGGAGGGCCGCGCAGTGAGAATCGCTCGGATGGAGGCCGCAGAATTGACTTTGCCCTGCTGGTTTCCGCTTCCCATTTATCACCCCTCGGCCGTCGGCGCGGGGCATGCAGAAGAGCTTGGCCGGCCTGACTGCCTCCATCGCCCTCCTCTTAATTTCCACGCTGCGCCGTCGCCCGCCCTCCCGCCTTGCCTGCCTCACCTCCTTTCTCTGCGGAGGAGAAATAATAAGCCGGCGAGTGGGGAGGCGAGAGAGCTTGCGGGGGGCAGGCCAGCCCCCCCAGTGACCCCAATCCAGGCCATGGGGACCACAACGCCAATCCGCGCAGCCCCATCTCCCCCATCGGCTCTGCCTCTTGGCTGCTGGCTCCTGCCCCCTCCCTCCCTCCCCTCCCCCCACTTGCCAGTGAAGCAGCCACGTCGGGCCGCCTCCTCTTCCACTGGGGCACCACTGTGGAGGACGGGGTGTTTGGCGCGGCCACGCGGAGGGAGGGAAGGCGGCGGAGGGGACGGAAGGGTGGGGCAGCCGGTAGTGTCCTGGAGGTCCCTTTTGCAGCCGAGCGCCACTCCCCGGGACACCACCGGCTGCTTTCACCTGACCCCCCCACCCGCTGAGGCTTCTTCCCTCCCTGCAGGCAGCGGCAGAGTGCCTGCCGGGTGGCGGCGAGGGTGCCTGGGGGTGCGGTGCACTGCTGCTCCCGAGGCTTCAGGGCTTCCTCAGGCGGGTCTCAGCAGCTCTTCCTCGCTCCCCCCTGCGTTCTCGAGCGTGGCCGGCCCTCCCGCCTGGAGAGAGAGAGACGCCGCCCCGAGGCGCACCGCGCAGCCGTGTCCGGGCCGAGGAAGAGGCTTCGGAGCTACTGGCCAGTGGCGCCGGTGGCCGCCCCTGCGCCTCCTCCCGCGCCCTAACGGCTGGCTTGCGCTCTAGGCGAACGCAAGGCCCTGCATATTGTGGTCATGTTCTCCTTCAAAGTGCGGGCAAGACTACTTTGACACAAGGGAACATTGGTCTGCCTAGATTTGGGATGTACTGTCCTTGTCCTTGTTGTTAGCCATTCAGTCGTGTTAGACTCTTGGAGATTGTAGGGGCCAGCATTTTCTGAACTTGTACTGTTTCTTTGAGTTGTTCCATGTTCAGGCTGGTGTCGACTTTTATGGTGTCTAGCCACCGTGTTCAATGGCAGCCCGGTTTCCTTTTGCCACTGACCAATCCAAGCATAATTGTTTTTTCTAGTGAGTTCTTCTGCAGCCCTTACTCAGCCCCAATTGACCCACAAAGTCAGCCTTTTATTGTTCGTTCATACTGTTTGGTTGAAACGCTGTCCCTGCCAGCCCTAGCATAGTGGTGTGGATCCTACCCCTGTTCTACCATTCCAGTGAGCAAAATTTGAAGCTTTCTTCCTGTCTAAGGAGCCTCCCTCCTTGAACTTGAGTGATTTTTCCTACAACAGAAGAGCCACTTAAATTTGAGAAAGTCTTCTTAGGTTGGAGGATACATGGAGAATAACTGGATTGACCCCGGTATCTCCAGCTCTACTTATCCATGAATAAGGTAACCCACTATCAGTTGCTCTGCATTGTTAACCCCCAAAGCTTAGGTTCTGTAACTGTAGTTTAGCACTTTTCACATAATGGTGAGATATTTGTGCAAACTGCAGGCCCTTTTTTTTTTGAGACAGAGATCTGGATTAAGAACATTCAGTCACTACAGATAGTCTAGGCTTTAAAACATTGGTTTGGACCCAATTTTATGTGCAATTTTAGCCCACAGAGGCTTTACACCTTTTTAAGGTTCTGGAATATTGTTAAACTCTCTTTTTGACATTTTTTGAAATATGTAAAATCCTCTCTCCGTCAAACATAGTATATCTGAAATATTCTATATACAAATGTATGGAGAAGAAGTGAGGTAGAAGTGTAGGTTTTCCATTTGAGAATATGAATTTCTCACTTGAGGTAAGCACATTTAACCTTTCTGAACAGTTATCTGCCAGTGGCTGAAATACAGTTGCAAACCGTCTGGAGGTAAAATGCCCTGCCCCCTCTTAATAGACACTTAATGAGATATTGTTTACCGGATGATGTTATGTACCTCTGCATTATAAAAAGGTTTACCTAGTTG